CAGGAGCCCGCCCCCTACCGCCAGACCCACCACGGCTGGCAGGGGCAGTGCGCGCTCGGCCGTGATGTGCAGCGTGCCCAGCCAGAATTCCAGGCCGCCCACCAGCACCTGCGGGGCAGGCCCCGGGTAAGTAGCGCCAGGCCTCCCAGCTGCCCTCCACCCCCGCCCACCGCCGCCCACCGCGCCCACCATGACAGGCTGCCGGCCCAGCTGGCTGGGTGAGTCGCACAGGAGCTGCGTGTCCGAGACGGTCAGCGCGCACGGCTGGCCACCAATCAGCACCGTGTAGTTGAGGCGGGAGCTGCCTGCTGCAGCGGGAATCAAGTTCTTGCCCTGGAGGAGGAGCTGTGCATCGACCCAGGCCCGGTCCTTGGCCCTCCCAGCCACACCCACGCATCTCCCAGCTACACCCCTCAGGCCCTGTACCTTCAGCACCACATGGGAGCCAGGTTTGACGTCCAAGACACCGGAGGGCCCTAGGGGCTCGAAGCTAGGGTCGGGGTAGTAGGTGAAGGCAGAGCGGTTGAGGGAGCGTGCCGTCTGCACGTGGTCCAGCAGGAAGCCGAACTCGTCAGGGTGCTCTCCTTGGGCCCTCGGCTGTGGCCGCCCCAGAAAAATGCCAGGCGCCTTGCACAGCATGGCTGTGTCATTGATCACCTGGCACGTCTGTGGGGACAAGGGTGGGCAGCCCAGCAGCCTGGGAGACTCCCAAGTGCAGGGCAGCAGGGGTGGGGTGGGGGCGGGGCAGGAACCTATACTCACATTGGTGGTCTCAATGCCCCGGTACTTGGCACGGACCCGGGGCTCCTGGACTGTCAGCAGATGAGTCCCACTTACGGTGATGGCAGTGCTGCCACTGGGGGCAGGGGACAGGGTGTCACACTCCCCTTCAAGTCCTTTGGCTCCCTCATTCTCCAGGAATAGCTCTGACCTGGGGACTGGGGGCCTTGGGCACCAAGTCCCATCCCTACTTCCAGCCTCCAGCCTCCCACCTCCCACCCCCAGGCCCCAGGCCAGAGCTAGGCTTCCCAGGGCCTTACTTGATGATACTCCAAGTTGGCTCAAGGCGTGTGACTGTGGGGTCTTGGGTGTAGGTGTAGATGACGCCGGGACTAGAGATGCTGGCACGGTCGATGGCGAGGGTGATGAGGGCCTGGCTGGGGCCTTGGGTGGAGAGCGGCGAGAGGCAGATGATGGACTTGGCGTCTCTCCTGCGGCAGCAATGGGGGTGCGTGCTGGGAAGAGGGCCTGGGCCCAGTCCTAGCCTAGGCCCTGCAGCCCAGGGACCTCTCACCTCACAAACTGGCACTCGCCGTCTCGCACAGTCACTGTGACCTGGCTGCCGGCATCTAGAGAGCTGCCTGTGATGGTGAGCCGTGTACCCCCCGCCGCTGGGCCCCGGCCTGGGCTCACGCCATGGAAGGTGGGGGTCTGGGGAGAAACCATCCTGAGGGGAGGGTAGAGCCAGACGGGACTGGGGCCACACCGCCTCCCCCCATGGCCAACCCGGGACAGGGCATGTGACCCACGTACCACGAAGGTGTAGAGCTGCTCCGACAGTGTGCGGAAGTCGGCTGAGCACTCGCCAACACACAGCTCCACAGGCCCTGGCGGTGGGCTGGGCACCAGCGACTCTTCCATTTCACACACGACCCTGAGGGGCAGAGAAGGTGAGCGAGGAGAGGGAGGAGGCTGGGGGTGGGGGGCTGCTCCCAAATGGTCCAGGCCACGCGCTACACTCACCTCTCGGCACGGACATATTCGGTGGCCACAGCATTGCAGCGCACGCCAGCCACCCACAGGTCTAGCTCCCGAGAGCTGAGGCCCAGGTTCTCACCCACGATGGTGACCCGAGTGCCCCCCTCCTTGGGGCCCATGAGTGGGTGGACCTGCAGGGTATGATGGGGGTGGGGGCAGAGGTCAGTGCAGACCATCAGCAGCCCGAGGGCAGCACGTTGGCAGTGGTGGCACAGACCTGCGTGATCCGAGGGTGACTGCAGCGAGGGCTCTTCTGGCTCGGGTGCATCCAATTAGCTTTGGGGGCCGGGCAGTGGGCACGCAGCTGGCACTTGTGTTCTGAGATGCACCAGCCACAGTTGAAGCGGGGATCGGCCTTGAGGCAGAGGCCGCAGCTTGAGCGCTGCGCCCAGCACTTGTACAGGAGGGCTGTGGGCACAGGGTCACTGCTGGGGGAGCCAGGGAGCGCCAACCCAGTAGGGAGTCATGGGGGTGAACCCTCTCTCTCCAGGGTGGATTGTGCACTCCCCATCCCGCCCTTACCTCGGAAGCTGGAAGGTTTGTCAATGGGAAAATCTCCATCCCAGACCACAGAGAAGTCCAGCTCTGTGTCCCCATACTCATCACCGTCGTATGAATACTGGAGAGAGAGAGACCCATGTTAGCCGCTAGGCGTGTGCCCCTCCACCCGGCGCCAGGGACCCCGGGTCTCACCGACGCGTTCTGACACTGCACGCTGCTGCTGTTGAAGCGCACGGCGGGCACACGCTGCTGCCGGCCCTGCACGCGGACCACACACTCGTAGTTCTTCTGGCCTGACTGAGGCTGCGGCAGGTTCTTGGCCCGCAGAGTGAGCGGCTGCACAACGCCAACAGGGATCAGGAGGTCCCCGCCAGGCAGGATCTCAGGGCAGCCCTGAGGAGGGCACCAGTCACTCACGAGCCGGCCTGGGACTGGGGCCTTGCAGAGCCCAAGGAGACAGAAGGCAGCCAGGCCCCAAGCAAGCCCCCAGTGCCCACCCCTGAGCCCGCCTCACCTCCGGGCTGTGGACCCTGCCCTCCTGGAAAGAGCACTCGTGGGGGTGGTTGGTGCACATGTGGTTGTACTTACACCAGTGGCAAGGGTAAGGGCTGCCGACGCAGGACATGCACCTGGGGGACGGTGGAGGGGGTTGGTGTCAGTAAAAAGCTAGACTGTTGGGAAAACACAGCTGGCCTGGGGTAGTGACACTCACGACTGGAGGCTGCTGCAGTTGTAAAAGACGAGGTCGGCCCCGGCGAAGCGTACACCCGTCTCCAGGGAGAGCAACTGCAGCCGCACGGTGCGGGCAGCCCCTGCAACAAGCCGGGCTGTGAGGGAAGGGTGCTCAGAGGGGCCTCCTACCACCCCCACCCCAGTCCACTCACCATGCCCCCTGGTGAGCACCCAGAGCTCCTGGAAGGAGGGTGAGGGACAGCGCAGCTCGCCCGAGGGCAGCAGGACAGCTTCGCTTGTGGTCACCTCTTCGAAGGCACAGCTAACGCCCGCACTCAGGTCAGGCACATTGTGCACAGCGACCGTCAGCTGTGGAGTCAGATGGTCAGGCAGAGGGAACGAATGCGGGGGCAGGTGCTCCCACCCCACCACTCACCTGCACCCCCAGCGACGTCACCGACACATTGTTGGGCCGAACCCGCACCTGGACACACTTGCTCAACTCCTGAGCAAAGCCATGAGGGGCAGAGGCACCCGGGCAGGCCCCTTCTCGGCAGCACCTGTGGGGGGGTAGGGCCGGGGGCGTAGACCAGAACCATCTCACAGCTGTTCCAGGAGGGCCTGGAGCCTGGGACACGGGTGGGGTAGGCCAGGGGCCAGCTCACCCCACCCTCTAGCCTCAGGCTGCAAGGCAACAACACCAGACCTCTGCCCCTGGAGGTGGAGGTTCCTCTCATTAGTTAGAGGTTGGGGAGGGGGGGCAGAATGGGCACAGGGGTACAACTGGGACAAGTGGGCTCTCCTGGGTCCCCTAACTGCTCAAAGCAGACCTCCTGCCCCCAGCCCAGGCCCTCACCTGTGCTGCAGCACACACCAGCCACAGTGTGGGTCCCGGGAGCCCAGGCAAGCGGCACAGCTCAGGTACTGCTCACAGGTCTCCACTGGGAGCTGGCTTACCTGGGGACAACCTCATGTCAGCACCTGGCTAGGCCTGCCCACCCCCACCGCTTCCCGCCCCCAGCACAGCCACCCACCTGCTTCTCACTCAGGAGGTAGATGTACTGGTGGTCAGGGCTGAAGAGCAGATCTCGAAGGATGGGGCTGCCGTCAACCACAGGGACTGTCTCATAGAGGTGGGCATCCTGGGAGCCATCAACCCGCACCTGGGTCCCAAGACCAGACCTAATACCACTGCAGCCCCTGGCAGTCAGTACCTCTCCCACCAGGTACCCAATGTCCTTCCCGTGGCCAGGGGAGAAGGCACCAAGGCCACCATGGTCAAAAGTAAACTGTCAGGCAGTTGGCCAGTTTCCTTTTAGAAATCAATAGTGATGACTATACCATTCCAAGAACATTCTAGAAATGTACTGGGAGCCACTCTTTAAATAGGTTAATTGTATGATATGTGAATTTTATCTTCCAAACTTTGCAGACTGGTCCCCAGGGCTTGGTGGCTCCTGCCAGGCACCACCCCGTCTGACTCTCCAGACAGACTGGACCTTATGAGTGGACCTTGTGGGATGGAGCTGGGTACTGGGCATGAGGAAAGCCCTCTCTAGAAGAGGATGTTTGGGTTGGAGGAAGGGGTGGAGCTAGGGAAAGAGCCCAGACCAAGGGTGAGGGCAAGGAGGGGCATGGGTGGCTGCATCCACATCTGTACCAACATCATAAACCCAGAGCCCTGGCCTGCTCAACAGGTCTGGCCATGGCCCCCAGAGCCACCCAAACAGCAGAGCTGGCAAGGGATTGGCTGTGGGGCAACCCTTGGTGCTCTCCCTCTGCCACCAGCCAGGCCCTGTCCAGCCTTCCTAGGCTCCTCTTCTCACTGTTACCCCAGGGCCCCCTGGTCCCACAGGCCAAGAGGCTGCCTGTCCCACCTTCTTCAGACTGCCGCTGCGTGTGCCAATGAAGACCACTGAGTGCTGGTGGTAGGTGTAGGCAGCCACACTGGCCATGCCCTCGGTGTTGTCGGCCAGCAGCGGCAGCCCCTCAATCACATGCAGGCCTCCCAGGGGCTGGTTCAACACCAGCCCACAGAAGTTTCCATTGATCTGCATGGGCTGGGGGGAGGAGAAGGTCTACATGAGCCCAGACAGTGGGAGGTACCTGCCAGCTGGCTTGGGCCCCATCCGCTCCCATGTAGGAGACCTGACTGCCTTCCCTAGAGCCCCATGGGGACTCAGGGACTAAAGAAGGCGCTAAAGGAGGGAGAGCAGGCATGAGGACCTGGGAGGACAGCTAGGCCCCAGGGGCGGAGAGTGAGCTAGAAATGGCGAGGTGGGACGGGCATGGGAGAAGGGCAAGGGCGGCAGGCTGGGCTCACGGTGTTGATGCAGGGGAGCTCCTTGTTGAGGAGCCAGGGCAGGGCCAACGTGCCCTCCCCGCGGTAGCAGGACTGGATGCGGCGGCGGATGTGGGCGTTGATGCTGCGGAGGGTGAAGAGACAGAGGAGCGTCTGCCGTGGTGGGCTGGCACGGTTCTTCTGGCCCTGGGAGAAGACGGTGAACAGGACATCCTCGTCGGCCGGCACGCCCAGCGCCTGCGCCAGCAGCAGGCCCGGCTTGGCCAGGTGGGCGCTCTGTACCAGGCGGTACTCCACGCCGTGCCAGGAGCAGCCGATGGGGAACTCGACGTACGAGTAGAACTCTGAGTCCCCGGCGCACATGCGCACAATCTTGGAGGTGAAGAACTTCTCGCCAGCCGTGTCCAGGAGCGTCTGCTGAGTGTCCAGCTGCAGGGTCAGGAAGTACACGAAGGAAGCGCTGACAAAGCCATAGATGTAGTAGATGTCGAAGGCAGGGTACAGGGAGAGTGTGTCTGAGGGGATCTTGATCTGGGAGGAGACGAACTCATCCTGGTAGACCTGGGGGGGAGAGGCCAGGTTCAGCTACATTGCTGCCCAACCGCCTACCCCTCCTGGCCTCCAGCCGCCAGCACTCGGCTCACGCACCAGACTGAACATGTCGACATTGTCCTCGTCGCCCAGCAGCTTGCGGGAGCTCAGGGTGGGGAAGTACTCGGACTTGCCATCCACGGCGGTGCCCACAAAGAGTTTGCTGGGCCCCTGGCCCTGCTCCACAATGACACCTGCCATGGCGTCGGGCTCCGGGGCCCCTGATAAGTAATGCTCCTTTCGGCGGTGCGGCTCACCCAGCTTGGACAGGTCGTCCAGCCGCAGGAACTGGCAGACGCCTTGCCAGATGCTGCCACAGGCCACCAGGCGCCGGGCTGCGTAGTCGATGAGCAGCAGCTTGTTGACATTGTCCGCAGGGGCCAGGCTATGGGCGCAGACCCGCATGCTGGGGGGTGGGTAGCAGCGGGCATTGTCCTCGACGGGGCCCGTGACGTGGGCACGCAGCTCAGTCAGGTTGGGGGCCAACTTGAAGACACGGTTCACTGCACCCACGAACACCTCACCGGTCACCCGGTGCATAGCCAGGTGGGTGAGGGTGGTGTCAGTCACCGTGAAGGCACGGAAAGGCCTGCCGCTGCCCCCGACCCCCTCCAGGGCGAGGAGGAGCAGCAAGAGGAGGTCGACCAGGAGCATGGTCTGCAGCTGCTCCCAGGAGGCCTGTGGAGTCGAGCAGGAGTCAGAGGCCACTCGTGGGGGCCACTCAGCCACCTCCTGCCCAGAGCCCCAGCTGGTGACCACAGCTGGGAGGAGGGGGTTCCACCAGAGGCAAGTGCCACTCGCCCCAAGGCCATCAATCATCCCCTCCCCTGGGCGCTGGAAGGGAGCCAGGGTGGCCTCGCCTCAGCTGGGCCACACCCAAGGGGGCAGCTCAGCCAGATGCTTTGAAAGGCAGGCAGGAGGCCCTCCTGGAACTCAGATCCCCTCGATGGCGACCCCCAGGCAAGAGACTCTCACCCAAGTGGGGAAAGGGGCAAAGCAGGGAGGGAACCATCACAAGGGGTGTGCCCCAATGCCCCTGCCACCAGAAGCTCTGGGCTAGCGGCTCTGGAGAGTCAAGGCCCCACCTGGGCCCCTGGGCCTGTCTGGCTGGCAGTCCCAAACACAAAGCCCAGCCGCGCCTGCACGTCCCGCCCCCCCCCCAGCCACGCACCCAGACAGACATCCATCAAGCACCCCTCTGGCACAGCCGGGCGGATGCCCAGTGGCCCTGTCCAACTCTCACTCCAGATGCAGGAGCCTGACCCACCCTTGGGTCCTAAGAAGCTTCTGGAGGGGGAGCCCGAACCCCAAATACAGCTGCAGCCTTAGGGAGAGGGGTGGGGGCACCAGGGACAGTCTCACGCTAGCCCCAGGCCGCAAGGACAGCAGAGCAGTGTCGTTGCAGCCTCTGCGCTCAGGGGGCCCTGGCCCTGGCCAAGCCCTGAAACGGGGTGCGTGGCTTGGGGGTGGGGAACAGACCGTGGAGGCACAGAAGAGGTGAGGCAGGCAGCGGGGCCAGAGAAAGGGGCAGGCCCATGGGAAGTGCAAACTTGGGGCTCAGCTTGAGCCCCTGTCCGCGACTCTTTTGTCCTGTCCGAATCCCGGACCCGTCAAGCAACATCCCGAGAAGAAAGGACACGCCGCTGGGCAGCCCGCGCCCTCCGCCCGCAGCGC